CTGAGTTCAAGCCCAGCAACATAACAAAAACAACAACAGCAACAACAATTCAAGAGCCCATGAAAGGTTAAAAGTCAGTACACCTAAAGAGCCTTCCTATATTAAAGTTTAAAATCAGCATATTTAAGAAAGGAAAAACCCAGGCACCAGTGGCTCTCACCTGTTATCCTAGCTACTTAGGAGGCTGAGATCTGAGGATCTTGGTTCAAAGCCAACCCAGGCAGGAAAGTCCATGAGATTCTTAGCTCCCATAAACCACTAGAAAACCAGAAGTGGCCCTGTGGCTCAAGCAGTAGAACGCTCACCTTGAACTGAAGAGCTCAGAGACAGCGCCCAAGCCCAGAGTTTAAGCCCCATGACTGACAAAAAAAAAAAATTCTCTCAAGAAGGATATGGCCCAGAACAGTTTTACTCCTGGAGGAAAATGTCTCCCTTGGGAACTGATATATACAAAACAAACCTCATGAGGACCAAATTCATACTGTTTGTGTGGCATGACAACTTAAGCCTGAGAATGTACTCTGAGCTGCAAGTGTCCCTAGGTGCCTGGAAGAAGCTACATGAACCTTTCTGAAAGAACGCATACTCAACATGGTTCCCACAAAATCTATACAAATACCTAACCCATGTTTTCTCAGTGAAATAGTAAGTCAGAGTCAGCTAATTGCAGCACTTTGATATCCCACATCTGCGTTCAAAGCTCAGCTCTACCTTCCAGCTGTGTCCTTGGGAATTTGGGCTTCTGTCCCAGAAAGAATAATGTCTGGCCCGTAAGATTCTGTGAAGACATGTCCTTGCACATAACTCTCACTATTGGGGAGCTGTTGTCCTAAAAGTACCACTCATTACATAAGTTTTATTGATAATACAAAATAAAAGTTGTTTCACCAAGCCAAGTACCAGTGGCTCACGCCTGTAATCTTAGCTACTCAGGAGGCTGAGATCTGAGATCTTGTTCAAAGCCTGCCCAGGCAGGAAAGTCCATCAGACTCTTACCTCCAATTAACCATCAAAAGGCCAAAAGTGGTTCTGTGGCTCAAGTGGCAGAGGGCTCACCTTGAACTGAAGAGCTCAGAGACAGCACCCAGGCCCAGAGTTCAAGACCCACGATTGACAAGAAAAAAAAAGTTGTCACCCTGAATAACTCTAGTATCATCCCAACTACACCAACATAATTAAAGTAGGTTCTAATCTATTTTTCTGGATGACCTATGAATCAAATAATGAACTACAAAAAAATAACTTAGAAACTAGTATGTAAGCCAGGTACCAGTGGCTCATGCCCATAATTTTAACTGTACTTCAGGAGGCTAAAATGTGAGTATGTGGTTAGAAACCAGCCTGGGCACAAAAAGCCAGAAGTAGAGGTTTGACTCAATTGGTAGAGTACTAGCCTTGAACAGGGACAGCTCAGGGGCAGGACATAGGCCCCTAGTTCAAAATGCATGACAGGAAAAAAAAAAAAGTAGCCTAACAGCAATGGAGGAAAAAGAGGTTGTTCAATATATTGTTCAAGACAAGTAGATATCCATTAAAGAAAAAAAAAAAAAACAGGCTGGGAAGGTGGCTCAATGGTACAGTGCTCACTTTGCATGCATGAGGCCCTGGGTTTGAGTCCTCAGTACCACATAAGCAGAAAAAGCCGGAAGGAGCACTGTGGCTCAAGTGGTAGAGCACTAGCCTTGAGCTGAAGAGCTGAGGGACAGCGCCCAGGCCCAGAGTTCAAGCTCCAAGACGGACCCAAAACAAACAAACAAAAAACCTTGCTGGGCGCTAGTGACTCAGGCCTGTAATCCTAGGACGCTGAGGTCTGAAGATGGTGGTTCAAAGGTAGCCCCACATAGATCTAGGGACATGTGATAAAGGAAACAAATTATCTAGATTCTAGACCAGGTTTCTTAGTTGAGGTCCTCTGATTCAAGGGCCTAAGGCTAGAATTCTCTGGCTACATCATGTATACTGGATCAGACCTTACCATTCAGGGCATACCACTTACAACTTGAAAACATCTACCTCATTTGTCTGCAGTTTCCTAGGAGCTGGCTTAGTGATGAGAACCAATGCTCTGTCCTCAGCAGCTCTCAGACAGTTACTAATGTGTGTGAGAAACATATGTGAGAAACATGATATGTGGGAAGAACACTGAAGACCAACAGTACTAAAAAATTTTGACTGCTGAACACATTAAAGGGCAAAGTGTTATATGAAGTATGCATACTTATGATCATTCCCCATTTATTAATTACAGATACTTGAACCCTTATCTCAAGGCCTACCTACAGGGAAACCAAGAAAACTAAGACCCCAGATGTACTATGAACTTGTTAGAAGATGAATCGTTTGTTTACTTAACTGCTTAATGAAGGAAATGATTCAACAAACAAACGAAAGTAGTATTAGGAGTATATTAGAATTTGTCTTAGAAGTCACAAATGTTTTCATATCACATAACAGTTGCTGCATATCTCAAAACATTTTTATGTTCATCTTTACTTGGAAATACCTATTGGAAATACTAAACTGCACATGACTATAACCTCCTGTGTAAATGTTGTGCAGTTTTCCTGTCTATGAGTTCATGCAACCGTTGAGCAACTACCTCTGTACCCACTAATTAGCCGATTACAAAACAGTACAGTTCAGTGTTTTTACAACTAGAGGTGAATGCAAAACGCCATGGGTGGATTCTAGTGTTCCTAGAAAACCATTTTACACTGTAAAGTACGAAAAATAAATTTTAATTCTATATACAATACTTGCCCATATTTCAAATGTGATTTTTTTGTTACCAAATGGTTTTATTAAAACATGTACAATGTGGGCTGGGGAGGTGGCTCAGTGGTAGAGTGCTTGCCTTGCATGCATGAAGCCCTGGGTTTGATTCCTCAGCACCACATAAACAAAAAGAAAAAAGCCAGAAGTGGTGCTGTGGCTCAAGTAGTAGAGCACTAGCCTTGAGCTGAAGAGCTGAGGGATAGCGCCGAGGCCCCAAGTTCAGGACCCACGACTGACAAAAAAAAAAAAAACATGTACAATGTGTCAGACACCAATGGTTCACATCTGTAATCCGAGCTACTAAAGAGGCTGAGATCTGAGTATCAAGGTTCAAAGCTAGTCCAGGCAGTAAAGTTCATGACTCCTATTTCCAATTAATCACTAAAAAGCTGACAGTATAGCTGTAGCTCAAGTGATAGAGGATTATCCTGAAGCAAAAACAGCATTCAAGGATAGCACCCAAGCCCTGAGTTCAAACCTGAGGACCAGCACAAAAAAGACATAATGTCTTGCCAGACACCAGTGGCTCCCACCTATAATCCTAGCTACTAGGAGGCTAAAATCTGAGGATCAAGGTTCAAAGCCCTGTAAAGCTTAACTAAGGTTAACCCAAAGTCTTAAGTCAAAGTCCTTAAGACTCTTTATCTCCAATTAACCAGAAAAATGTTAGAACTAGACAGGACAAACATCTGACAGGATGAGGGGGTGAGGGGGTGGGGAACCAAGCTACCTATTTATAGTTCTTTGTCAAAGTTAACCCATCTTTGTCTAGTACATGTAGTAAAGTCAGTATGGTATAGTTCTTTAAAAAGAAGAAGAAAAAAAAAAAGACTAGCAAGCCTGAGTTGATGAGTTAAACCCCCGTACAATAAAGAAAAAAAAATTAAATGTGGGAGCTGGAAGCATAGCTCAAATAATAAAGCACATAGTAAGAAGCCCTGATTTCAGTTCCCAGTACTAGTATACACATACACACACACCCCAGAATGTCTATTATTCCACATTTTTAGTACCTTTAGAGCCTTGACAATTATTTAATAATTTAATAATTTATTTCTTGTAGTTATGTACACTACCTAGGCCTGGGCGCTGTCTCTCAGCAATTCAGCTCAAGGCTAGCAATCTACCACTTGAGCCACAGTGCCACTTCCAGCTTTTTCTGCTTATGTGGTGCTGAGGAATTGAACCCAGGGCCTCATGCATACAAGGCAAGCACTCTACTACTGAGCCACCTTCCCAGCCCCCTAACTATGGTTTTAAAAATATTATAGTATGAAGATGGTCATACACTTGCTTCACTAGGTTTCCAAAGCAATTCATAGCACATAAATAAAACTTCAAAACATACAATTTAAAGGTAGGAAGAATAAGGCAAAGAAACATCCTTCCATGGTGAATCAGTAGTACAACTCTACTTTTTTTTTTTTTTTGGGTCCGGTCGTGGGGCCTGAACTCTGGGCCTGGGCACTGTCCCTCAGCTCTTCAGCTCAAGGCTACTGCTCTACCACTTGAGCCACAGCACCACTTCCGGCTTTTTTCTTTTTGCTTATGTGGTGCTGAGGAATCGAACCCAGGGCCTCATGCATGCAAGGCAAGCACTCTACCACTGAGCCACCTTCCCAGCCCTACAACTCTACTTTTTAAATAGAACTAAATATGCTATTTGTAAATATCAAATTAGTTTTTTAATAAATTAACTAGGAGGGGCTGGGAAGGTGGCTCAGTGGTAGAGTGCTTTCCTTGCATGCATGAGGCCCTGGGTTCGATTCCTTAGCGCCACATAAGCAGAAAAAGCCGGAAGTGGCACTGTGGATCAAGTGGTAGAGTGCTAGCCTTGAGCTGAAGATCTGAGGGACAGGACCCAGGCCCAGAGTTCAGGCCCCATGACCGGCAAAAATCAATCAATCAATCAATCAATCAGCTAGGATACTAGAAAGTATTATTATCATTAGTGCTAGTAATATCAATATCCACTACAAATGCCTTCTATCTGAGAAGAACATACCAGATCTTTGTAAATTACTTTTTGTTTTTGGCAGAGCTGGGAATCAAACCCAGCATCATCACAAGCCAGGAAGCATTCTACCACTGAGTCATATCCTCAGCCTCATAAACATTTTTATTATTCCTCAAGCAAGCTTTGCAGAAGAGGAAAAAGTAAATGAAGATGAACAAAGGAATATTTCTGGTTTGTTTTTCCCTTTGAACTTTATTTGGTCCTTTACCTTTCCAGCAGTAGCAAAATATTCACCATCAGGAGACCATTCCATCAGATGTACCGACACTGAAGTTCTAAAAGCAATAAGATTTTTTTAAAAAGCATTTTTAAAATTGGCACGGTGTATATGCAATTAATGACCAAGATTTTGAAAACATTCAAGTCACAATGATCAGAGCAAAGATGCTTCTGCCTCCTACAAATATAAACAAAATATTTTACCTTAATCAAAACTAACTAAAAACTAATTAATCAAATTAATCAAAACTAACCCAATATTCATTTTACAAAAATAAGAATGTATGTAGTATATAGACAATGGTATCTCCAGACATCTCTCTCACAAATACCCTAAGTATAACATGTTAAAAATAGCTCAAGCCAGGCACCCAAGTTGGTTCATGCCTATAATCCTAGCAACTCAGGAGGCTAAAAGCTGAGGTTTGAGGTTTGAAGCCAGCCTGGGCAGAAAAGTCCATGAGACTCTTATCTCCAGCTAACCACCAAAAAGCCAGAAGTGGAGCAAAAATGCTCAAGGACAGCACCCGAGCTCTGAGTTCAAGCTCCAAGACCAGCACAAAAACAAAAACAAACAAACAAACAAAGCAAAAAAAACAAAAAACAAAAAAAACCCAGCCCATTGTTGTTCCTGGCTACCTAATCCCCTTCACATAACCTGTATTAATGCTGGGAATTCAGGATCCTCCACTTGAAACCTAACACTTCTTCCCCTCCTCATTATCTCATTCTTGAAGTAATTCCTATGCTCACCTTTTTAGCTCAAACCCTGGAGCTATCACTAAGAAAATGTCCTTTTTGTGAACAATTATCTATAGCACAGATTGAAGAATAACAGCATAATGGGTTGGGGCCAGAAAAGTCTACTTTCTAGGCTTTTAAATCCAATGGTACTGTCAAAAATTTAAGATCTTTATAAAAGGAAACATAATTTAGGAAGCACTGTTAAACTAATGAACATAACAAGAGATGAATACTAACTTGCACTGCCAGATGCACTTCCAGTCATTTAAAACAGGAGGAATTTTGTTATCACTTTCTTCCTCCTCTTCCAGAATATCACCTCCTGGAGGAGCCCACAACTGAATAGAATCAGTTGCTGTCAACAATCTGTTATCTGAAAATTCAAGAATATTCTGATAAATAAGCAAAGATAAATGGGAAAGAAATGCTTTTGTTCAGCTCTGGGAACTATTATGTGAAAAACACACATTACTGTCTATGAAAAACACATGGTATTATCTAATTAAAATTAAGTCCTATAAGAAAAAAAGAATCCATAAGACAGTTAAGAATAATTCTTGAGAAAGACTTGTGAAAACTCTTACAAGGCAAAAAACAAAAGCTTACAAGGCAAAGAGTGATTGCCCTTTGTATTAATCAAACCTTTTTTAAAAACAAAAAGCTCTGCCTACACAGGAGGTTAAGATCTAAGAATCATGGTTTGGAGCCAGTCTGGACAGACAAATCTCTTGAGACTCTTATTTCCAAATAACCAACAAGAAACTGGAAGTGGAGGTATGGCTCAAGTGGTAGAGCTGAAAAAGCTGAGCAAGAACTTGAGGCCCTGAGTTCAAGTTTCAATACCATAAATGAATGAATGAATAAATAAATAAAATAAAATAAAAGCCAGTGTGGTGATATCCATTAGTCATCCCAGCACGTGGGAGACAGAGGCAAGAAAATGGCAAACTTTGAGGCTAGGCTGGGCTGTACAGAGAGACCCTGATGAGAAAAAAAAAAAGAAAGAAAGAAAGAAGGGGATAAATAAGCTAGAAAAGGAAAAGAAGGAGAGAAGAAGGGAGGGAAAGTAGAATAGCAAATCCTCCAAACTCTGGCATTTTCAGGATATGCTAAAAACATAACTAAAAATTTCAAAAAAAAATTTTTCTACATGGAATATATAATAATCCTCATTAACTGTGAATGTAAAAGAAAATAAAGTTACAACTTCAGAGGTTCCTAATCTTTAGAAATTAAAGCTTTTTTTTTTTTTTCCCCCAGTCCTGGGGCTTGTACTCAGGGCCTGGGCACTGTCCCTGAGCTTCTTTTGCTCAAGGCTAGCACTCTACCACTTGAGCCACAGCACCACTTCTGGCTTTTTCTGTTTATGTGGCACTGAGGAATTGAACCCAGAGCTTTATGCATGCTAGGCAAGCACTCTACCACTAAGCTACATTCCCAGCCCTAAAGATAGTATTTCTTTTAAAACACTGAAGAGACAAAAAAGTAAACTAATCCCTATACCAAGCAATGTGTATTAAGACAAAAAAGGTATCGTCACTCATCAACAAAAGCAAACATAGCATTCATCACTTTTTTATTTTAAAAAAAATCACATGGTAATCGTATATTTAAAACAGGGTTTCATTTATATAATTTTTAAGTATAACTGCTACATACCTTGAGGGTCCCAAGCTAAGTTGTAAGTCACAGAACTCAAAAAAAACTGCCCAGTTTTAAGCCACTGACACTTGAGTTGCTAAAACAGAAGAAAAAAAAATATGCTTTTAAAGCATCCAAAATCTTGACCATTTTATTTAACTGAAGACCATATGATCTAAAATATGTTTCACAATTACTTTCAAAAACTGTTAAAGTAACTTAAAATGGTGGCATTCTACCAGACTGAGCTGCTTGCCACACCCAAAGTGCTTTCTCTCTGATGCCTTCCCTTTCTGTTTCCCTTCCTTCCTTCCCTCTCTACTAACTCCCTGGTTTCACAAAGATCTAGCTCAATCATCACCTCTGCTAAGAAACCTTCTCCGATATCCTGCCAGCACCCAAGCTTCTCTCCATTCTGCCATTATAAGTGCATCACACAGGATTTTGTCTATATGTCTGAGATTCCTATTAAATTGCAGCTCTTTAAGGACAAGAACAATGTCATAAAAATCTTTGTATCTTCAGCATTTGCAATACTAACTAGCTACACAGATGCTCAAAAATGTTTTATTAAAGCCAAGTATACATTAGAAAGAAATGTAAATTATCAGGGAGGGAAGGGATCGTAGGGGACAAGCAAAAGAGGAGGTAACAATATTCAATAGGAAATATACTCATTACCTTACTCATGTAACTGTAACCCCTCTGTACAGTAACTTTACAATAAAAAATATATATAAAGAAATAAAGTAGCTCAACATCTTCTCTGCTTAATGTAAAAAAAAAAAAGAAATGTAAATTATCCTAATCCTAAAGGCTCATGATCCAAAAGAACACTGGATATACCTCCTAAGCAATCCTATATGATTTAAGCCCATGAATTCAAAGTCAGACTAGGCAAATAAGTGATACCTGTCTCAAAAAAATAAATAAGCCTAGCACCAGTGTAATTCTAGCATTCAGGAAGCTGAGATTAGGTTCAAAGCTAGCCTACTCAGAAAAGTCTGAGAGACTTCATCTCCAATTAATCAGCAAAATATTCAAGTGGCAGAGCATAAGCAAGCCAAGTGAAAGAATAAGATCTTGAGTTCAAAAGTTCATGTAGGAATTTTTAAGAGTTGATATTCCTAACCATATCAAATTTTCTGAATATTACCTAAGATAAAATACAATATCCAATATAAATAAGAATGGTTCTCAATGTGGTGTGCTAGACCACTTATTGGTAAATGAATTTGCTAATAAGCCTTAACTCCATGAAGTTCATGTTTAGGAACTCAATGTCCCAGATACTAATCTAACTACATGGGAAGTATCAGCAAATGAAAGAAACAAAACGCACTGGAGCTTACAGTCTAAATAGTAAACAATAAATAAGCAAATAAAATGAATATTCTGGAAGAAAGTTTAAAACACAAAGAGAAGGAGTTACAAAAAAACTAAAAAAAATCTTGCCCTAAAGTGACACAGAAAAAATTCCTTAAATTGGAGAGTGTCTGAGGGGCAGTGGAAATACTAGTATGTCTTGTGTAAGTCACATAGGACAGTAACATAATGTGTTGCTGTAAGTGCGGTGCTAAAGGATGGAGGCTGGAGTATTTTAAAACTTTTTAAGCATTGAATCTGAGTTTTTAAGAAGGTTTTAAGAAAAGTGTCATCTTCTTCTCTACTGATAATAAAAGTGGGGAGAGGGATTAGAGCCAGATACTAAATATCAGGCACAGACTAGTAACCACAAAAACTAGTTCAGACTACATTACCTGCCACTTTAATGACCACAGGAAATAGTAGATAGTAATACTGTAAAAACTTGGGTTTATAAAAGGTCTTTACTAATTTTACAGATATTGTACCCCACTGTTAGCACCAGATCCTACGGGCTTTTTATTGTTATTACTAGGCTTTACAGAATTAACAAGTCAAATGAAAATATGTCAATACTAAAAATACTGAAACTAAAAAAAAAAAATCAGATTCTAAAAGTGTTCTAAAATCAGTTAATACTTACACTATTTCTCTTATGAGAATTTATGCCCAGGGGCTCAAAAATACAAACAGCATTACCATATGAAGCTGCAACCTAAAAAATAGTAATAATAAACATAGCATTGGTATTCAGAAAAGAATTAAGTAACTCTTCTCACAACAATGTAAAAGTTAATTTTAATCATCTCAATATAACTTCATAGTTATTTTTTCAATAAATTTGAAAGTATAATAGATTTAATAATTTCTTCTCTGTATGAGAAAATTCAGCAGGCTTTATTTTAGAAATACAGTGTTTACTTCTTCAAACAAATCATCGTGCCCAGTCACAGTGGCTCACAACTATAACCGTAGCTACTCAGGAGGCTAAGATCAGAGGATCACAGTTCAAAGCAAGCCTGAGGATCACAGTTCAAAGCCAGCCTAGGAAAGCAAATCTATGAAACTCTTATCTCCAATTAGCCACCAAAAAAATCTCAAAGTAGAACAATACTCGAAGGGGTAGAGGGCTAACCTTGAGCAAAAAAGCACAGGGACAGTGTGCAGGCCCTGAAGTCAGGCCTCCAGGACAGGCACCAAAATGAAAAACAAAAAAACAAACAAATAAACAAAGAGAGAAAGGGAGAAAGAAAAAGAAATCCTCCTATAGGAATTTATAGGTAGAGCCACAACTCTTGGGCTTTTTCCACCGGAGACTACAGATTATACACACTGTATACAGCTTCATCTTAGATATTTTGAAAATCTTTACTGCAAGAAATTTGTTCACTGTGATTATCACTGGTATGGCCAGCTTGAGGCTAGTTTGAGCAATATAGTGAGATTTCATTTCAAAAAACTAACAAAATCTTCCAACACAGCATATATCTACAGACCCATTACCTATTATGTTGTCAGGGAAATGGCACTTCACAATTTATATAACCACTGACAACTTGACGGCTCTCATCAAAGAGCAAGATACAATAATTTAAAGAAAACAGTGGACACGATTTTTTGTTGTTTTGTTTTGTTTTTGTCAGTTGTAGGGCTTGAACTCTGGGCCTGGGCGCTATCCCTCAGCTCTTCAGCTCAAGGTGAGCACTCTACCACTTGAGCTACAGCACCACTTCCGGTTTTCTGGTGGTTTATTGGAGATAGGAGTCTCACAGTCTTTCCTGCCCAAGCTGGCTTTGAGCCTTGATCCTCAGATCTCAGCCTCCTGAGTAGCTAGGATTACAGGCGTGAGCCACCAGCGCCCAGCTCGCGGATACGTTTTTTAAAAGGACAAGGATATCCTGAGATGATTAAGTATTAAAATGACATTCAGTAAGAAACTAAATTTCTTACCCGTCCTTGTTGATGAGAACACTCCACACAGCTGACCTGGATGTTCCCATGCTTAGCACCAGGAATGATCTGCACACATTCAAAGTCACTTGCCAAAATAACAATATCACAGCCTGAACCATATGCCTACAAAGAAAACAATGGCATGTAAGACATCTATCTTTGGATTTATTATCAGTGTAAGAGGTATACTTTGACATGTTTTTTACATATTTCCAAATAAGAACTTTAAAATTCACATGAAAATAATGATAGCATTTCATGCAATAACTTCCAACAAAAAAAATCATATCAGGATATGATATGAGTTGGGGCCTGAAAAATATCTACTCTTTATAACACACCTAGCAAGAACTGGAGTCACTATGAAGAAGGTATAACATGAATGGCCTTTTTATAAGCAAGTGCCCTACATGTGAGAAAGAAAGGGGACAGGGAAGAGCAAAAGGAAGAAGGGAAGAAGAGAAGGGGGAGGAAAAGGAAATTCCTGGTAAATACTCAGAGCCTTCTTCTCTAAAGGCTGTCCACTCCTAGCAATTGCTACCGTAGACAAACACACTCTTACTACTTAATCACCGGAAAGACTTTTTACTCTTCCTTTTATGCCCTTAACTACCAAATATTTTTCAAAGCATATTACCATATTCCTTTGCTGAAGAGGATCCTGTTATTTTTCTAACTCTACAATAGTTCTCAAACCTGGCTGCACGAAAATTACTTAGATAACTTGTTAAAAATACATAGACTCCCCTATGACCCAGCAATACCACTTCTGGGCATTTACCCAAATGATCACAAACAAGGCCATACTAAAACGACCAGTACAACTATGTTTACCACGGCATTATTTACCATAGCTAAGATATGGAAACAACCCAGATGCCCCTCAGTAATCAGGAAAATGTAATACATATACATATACATACACACACACACATACACATACACACACATACACATACACACAATGGAATTCTATGCTTCCATCAAAAAGAATGACACTGCCCCATTTGTAAGAAAATGGAAAGAGGGGGAGGGGGGAGGCTGGGAAGGGATGTGAAGGGTAAACCAAAGGAGGAGGCTGCAATGCTTGGTAAGAAATGTACGCATTATCCTGCCCATGTAATTGTAACCCCTCTGTACAGTATGTTCACAAATAAATAAATAAAAAAGAAAATGGAAAGACTGGGGCTGGGAAGGTGGCTCAGTGGTAGAGCACTTGCCTTGCATGCCTGAGGCCCTGCGTTCGATTCCTCAGCACCACATAAGAAAAAAGAAAAAAGCCGGAAGTGGTGCTGTGGCTCAAGTGGAAGAGCACTAGCCTTGAGCTGAAGAGCTGAGGGACAGTGCCCAGGCCCAGAGTTCAGGCCCCACGACCGGACCAAAAAAAAAAAAAAAAAGGAAAGACTTGGAAAAAATATTAAGTCAGACCCAAAGAAACATAGGTCCCGTGGTTTCCCTTACATGCAATAATTAGTATACATTTAGGATAATCTTAGCAGATAAGAAAATAGCTCAATAGCTATGTACATATGACCCTATAAGACGGCGCTAAGCAAAATGAATTCAAAGACATGGAAACAAGAGGTTTTTCTTTGTTGTTGCTTTTAACGTACTATGAGATTTCTTGTTCCTTTTGTATGTTCTTCCCCCTATGGTATATCCCCTATTGTTACTGTATTTGATTTTGGTACCCTGGTATTGTATATACATTTATTTAATTAGGGAAGGGAAGGGGAACAACAGAATGGTAAAACAAAGGACAAGGGGAGAATCAATGCAACAGTGATATACACAAGACAATACGTTGGCAATGATCTGTACAACTTGGGATGAGGGGGAAGGAAAGTAGGAGAAAATTGAGGGGAGGGTAACTAATTTGGCAAGAAAGGTACTCATTACCTTACTTATATAACATAACCCCTCTGGACATCATCTTGACATTAAAATATACATACGTATGTGTGTATATATATACACACACACGCATACACACACACACACACATACACACACACACACACACACAGATTGCTATTCTCACCCCAGACTTACTATACCAGACTCTTTTTTTCTTTTTTTTTTTGGTTGGTCCTGGGGGTTGAACCTCTGGGCTTGGGCACTGTCCCTGCACTCTTCAGCTCAAGGCAAGCGCTCTACCACTTGAGCCACAGCACCACTTCCAGTTTTCTAGTGGTTTATTGGAGATTAAGAGTCTCACAGACTTTCCTGCCCAGGCTGGCTTTGAACTGCGATCCTCAGATCTCAGCCTCCTGACTCTTTATGGATAAAAGTTGGCAATATCTATCAAAATTTTTAGCACAACATACCCTTTGATCAAACAATTCTCTATTTTTCCCTGTAAGGACATTTATAAAAGTTTTATAAAAATATATAAGGATATCATTGTCATATTATTTATAACAATATAAACTGGAAACAATCATACTGTCCATCAGATCAGTAGAGTTAAATTACTCAATCCATACATTGGAATACTATACAGCTACTAAAAGTTTAATTTAAGATGGTCTCAAATCCCTAAAGGAGCTATTAATTCTGTAAAATTCAGCAAATGATACTGCTTTCCTGTGGTATCACACCTAGATAGTACCTACCACTTCATATAATATCTACACACACTGTTAAAATAAAACCACTAGTCTACACTAATGGTTAGAAAAGGCACAGAGGGCCAGGCACCAGTGGCTCACACCTGTAATCCTAGCTCAAGGGGCTGAGATCTGAAGGTAGTGGTTCAAAGCCAGCCCAGACAGGAAAGTCCATGAGACTCATCTCCAATAAACCACCAGAAAACTGGAAGAGGCGCACACTGTAGCTCAAGTGATAGAGCTGAAGAGCACAAAAAAAAAAAGAAAAGAAAAGGCACAGAGGAAGAATATACTTCATTTTCAAAAGATATTGGTCTGATGTAGAAAACACCCAAGTATGGAAGAATGGGAACTTGTCTCATTAGATATGCATTCTGAAACTGAAAATGCATGAGATCTGAATGTCTTTATACAATGTAATGATGCTAGCAAATGAACCAGCAAGGCTAGGACTTTTCTTTATCCTTATAAACCACTGTAATCCCAATACTAGCACTTAAGCTTCCCATAGTACATGTGGAGTTGAAAGAGAAGACATGACCTTGTTGTTAATAATTTGGCCAAGCTCCCTCACAAGCTGCCTGTGACAGTATCATGGATATAGAAGACCTGCCAGAGAAAATCAACCAACGCCTTCCCTGATAACTTACCATTTACTGAATATATCTTCTATGAGCTGGCAAGCAGTCTCCTAAGGTCTTTGTGAACATAATTATTAGGTACACAGGCTCTCTTTTTAAGTAATTTGTCTGGGTTCATAAAGTAAGGACTATTGTTTCATAATAAAGCTCTCGTCAGGCACAGTGACTCAACACTGTAATCCAAGCTACTTGAGACTTGAAGATCATAGAGGATCATAGTTCAAGACCAGCCCAGGATGAAACTTCATCTGAACTAATGGCTGGGTGCAGTGGCATGCATATTTTAATCCAGCTTTGGGGAAGGCACAAGTAGGAAGACTGCAGCTCAGGCCAGCTCTGGCATAAATACCTATCTTGAAATAACCAACATAAACAAGGGCTGAGGAAATAACTCAAGTGGTAGAACACCTGGCTTAGCCAACAGGAGGCCTGAATTCCTATCCCCAGTGCTCGAAGAAAAAAAAGCTCCTATTCTTCCCACTGCATTACCATACCTCTACTCTATTGGTGCCATGAAATTTCTGTAATCCCAACAAATTTTCCACATCATCTAGCTCAGATGCCTAACATCAATAAACATAGCATACAATAAACACCAACAGTTGAGATAGTTTATTAAAACTCTATTATGACTGAAAAGATTTCCATTCTATTTTTTTGGTGGTGGTAGGTTTCATTTATCTGAGACAAGGTCTCACTATGTAGCTCAGGCATGTTCCTATTGTTTTATTGTTCTTATGGAAAAGAAACAAGTATCTTTTCATGTATTCATTAGCCTTTAAATTTCTTTCTCTGTAAATCGACAATTGGTGTTATTGGACCACTTGTCCATTGTCAACTAATGCCTGCCACCACCACCCACAAAACAAATCTTTCTCAGTATAGTTAAAAGAGCAGAAAAGACAGAATCTGAAAATAAGCTCTTCTTTCCGCATGACTGAGAATACAGTTACACCAACAGCTTAAAGTCCACTCAAGAATGCTGAATGAGCAAAGTAAACAAATCAGAAACTAAATAGTATTACAGAAAAAACTAGCCCATGTAAAGACCAGTGAAGCAATGCAACTATATGGTAAGCAAAGGGACAGCCCTTTTAAATTAAATCTCACCTCAGGAAAATCTCCTCTCCTTGGGAAAGACCAAATTAACATAAGTGTATGGACACTTACAAGTTTCCATACAACAAAGCAAAGCTGCTAGTGGTATGTTGAATAAAAACTTAAAGCTTTAATACAAACATGTATGAATACAAATGTATTATCATGCTGGGTTACACTGGTCATGCCTGTAAGCCTAGCTGCTCAGGAAGCTGACATGAAGACTGAGATCTGGAGCAAGCCTGGACAGACAAATCTCATTCAGCAAAAAGCCAAACTAGAGTTGTGGCTCAAGTAATAGTGTGTCAGCCATGAGCAAAAAAGCCAAATAAGAGTTCAAAATCCTGACTTCAAGCCCCAGTACTGGCATGTAGACACACGCACACACACAAAATCTCTTTTCAGGAAAAAGGACAGAAAGAAATTAGGAAAATATTGTGCTTGTGACTAAGCAGTTAAAAAAAAAAAGTTTCTTTTGTTTTTGTTGGTTGTGGGGCTTGAACTCTGGGCCTGGGTGCTGTTCCTCAACTCTTCAGCTCAAAGCTAGCACTCTACCACTTGAGCCACAGCACCACTTCCAGTTTACTGAGTGGTTTATTGGAGATAAGAGTCTTACGGACTTTCCTGCCCGGGCTGGCTTTGAACTGCGATCCTCAGGTCTCAGCCTCCTGAGTAGAAAAAATAGTTTTTGCTTTGCTTCCTAACAACCTCAGAAAAGCAGCTGATCTTCAAACAAAAAAATCCCAACTTAGGGATTTAGTGATAGAACATGGGC